CCCAAAGCCAATGATGTCGTCGAAGCAGCAAACAAGAACATCAAAAAGATTTTGAGAAAGATGATTCAAAGTTCCAGGCAGTGGCATGAAAAGTTTCCGTTGGCATTATTGGGATACCGCACTACTGTGTGCATATCAGTCGGAGCAACCCCATATCTTTTGGTTTATTGCACTGAAGTCGTGATACCCGCAGAAGTTGAAATCCCTTTTCTTCGGGTCATTGTTGAAGTTGAAATTAAAGACAGTGAGTGGGTCAAAACCCGTTTGGAACAGTTAACCCTGATCGATGAGAAGCGAATGGCCGCAGTCTGCCACAGGCAGTTATATCAACAAAGAATGGCCCGTGCCTACAACAAGAAAGTGCGGGCTAGAAATTTTGAAGTGGGGCAACTCGTTTTAAGGCGTATTCTTCCCCATCATCAGGAAGCGAAAGGAAAGTTTGCTCCTAACCAGAAAGGCCCATACATTATCAGAAAATTATTTCCAAAAGGGGCATTATACTTGGGAGACATCGAAGGAAATGACCCCAAAATAGTTGTAAATGCAGATGCAGTCAAAAAGTACTATGTCTACTCCTCCTTCAGCAATAACATTATTCGATTGGGATGACGAAGGCTTTCATTCTCGCCACCCCAAACACTCCAACCCTTCGCTAACCCTTTAATTCGGTTACCTTTCTTTCATTACCCTCTTTGGAACTCGAAGACGCTTGTAACAAAAGAAGAAAAAAAGAAACAAAAATAACAAAAACAAAATGTTTCCCTGAATTACGTTCGACTTGATTCCGAAAGGATACGTAGGCAGCCTCTCTATGGGGTTCAGTCACACCAAGACAAAAATCCAATTTCCCCCAAAAATAAAATTGGGGCAGATATTATAATGGTTCGGCGATGATCCCTCCTGAACGGTGCCAAACTTGTAATTTGATCCAAGTTCTTTTACCCAAACCTTGTTCAAGTCCTTCCGATCAATCGGTGAAAGGTTTTCAAAATTAGAGAACGTAGCTGTTTGGATCCAATGTAATCAAGATGAGAGAAATAAAATGAGAGAGTCTTATTGGTGAAAATCCACGGGCACCGTAAGGCGACGGTGAGCAGAGAAATTGAAATGACAGAGTCTTTCTAGTGAAAACTCGTAAAGAGCACTATAAGGCGATGGTGAGAAGAGAAATGAGAGAGGTCGATTGGCGAAAACCAGCAAAGGGTGCCGTTGATCGACAAGAAAGAAATCCCTCACCACCATTGGCACTGAAAGAGTCCTGGCAAGGTTTCTCGGTTTCAAAACACGGTTCACAATGGGTCTATGAGAAGTTGTATAGTTGGGCAGATCGGGTATCCAGTCTAAGAAGCATGTCATATCTATTGAAGTCTGCATGCATTCCAGATAAGTCCTTCTTTCCTCCCCGAAAGGGACACTTCTCTTTAAATTCACTTTCTTGTCATTTGTTCACTTTTCTTTGAATCCCTTTCGGCCTAACTCTGTTCCGAAACTAATACAAAGACAAGGTGGCAAGATTGGTTTTACAGGGGCCTGCATAATAAAAGCCAAGTCCAAAGAAAGTACCCGGCTTCAGCGGGTGCATTAAGTCAATCCCGACTGGCCATGATGGCCGATGCTCTGAAATCAAAGTTATTGAAAATGAAAAGAAATCCAAAGTCAAAATCCCCTAGAGGCAGAATAAGGTGAGAGGGCCAAAGCCCCACACAGGTGAACTAACATGGGAAATTTTGGAAAGTTGAGTTCCCGGTTTCAGGAGAGAGATCAATCTTCAGAAAAGCCAGCAAGCAACAAAGGTTCTCACCAAAAGAGTTGGGTCGAGATCAAGTGATCAAAAACAATCAAGGCCACAAAACCAACCACCATTTCAAACTAACAATTGTTCTTTATTTGAAAATTTGAAACATGTGCAATCCAAAGCAACCGTGCAAGAAGCAGGTGCAACCGAAAAAAGGAAAAAAAATGTGCAAGTGCTAGAAATAACTTTGTAGCAACAATCCATAAAAAGGGGAGTCCCCTCCAAACTTTTTCCCGCATTTACTCATTCCATGAAAAAAAGAAGAGAAAGGAAAACAAAATGATAAAAAAAGTTAAGAAGAAAATTCAAAAAAAATGGTAGCTTAGGATCCCCAATCTCAATTTTCAGCTCTGCCTTCTCTCTAGGAAGAGAAGGAATAGTAATTTCGTCATCATTTTCCGGTCATAACACCGGCATCCGGTGGTGGAACTAACCAAACTTGGTGTCAAAAGATACATAATTTCCTTACGAATAATACCCAATTGGTTTCAACTTCATATCTATAGTCAATTTTAGTAGATCTTAATTTCATTTTCACGAGTTACTATAGCAGACATTGTTCTTCATTCAATTTCAGCGATTCAGCTAATTCCAGCACTGCCTCTCAGCACAACAGCTTGTTTTGATAACGTGAAAGTGTTCTCTTCTCTTCTAAGATTGGTTTGAATTCTAAGCTTCATTTTAAATCGAAATTACTGTTTTTACAGTTTGGACTGTGAAATTGGATTCACAGCCATAAGCAGTAAGTAACGTGAAGCTAATTCGAATTACAGTAGCATCGTTTTCTTGCAAAGCTGCTGCATCTTTGTCATGTAATTAAAGTGCTAAAGAATTACAACTGTAATGGACACACAGGCAGGTGGCCAGCCACATTTGGTGGCTGCGCTGCCTACACAACCTCCTCCAAACATTGCACAAATATCAGGGAACACAAATAACAACAAACAGCCGATAGATTACTCCAAAATTCTGAAACCTTCCACTTTAAATGCTGCAATGCAGGAGCAACAGGAAGTTGAGCCAATTCCCATTCGTCCACCTACAATATTGAATGGAGAGCATGTTATTCAGTTCACAGAAGCAGAAGTAGAAAGGATGGATATCATCGAAGGATTACAATATGCAATAGTTGGTAAATGTTCTTATGGCAGCCCAGAAATTCAACAACTGCGTAAGCTAATACCAATTCAATGCGGAATTAAAGGTGAGTGTAACATTGGATTTCTAAGGGATAGGCACATTTTGATTAGAATGACGTTAAGGCAGGACTATCTTCATTTCTCATCAAAAACTCATTACATAAAGGACAGGGATGGCTATCAATATCAGCTTAGGCCATTGATTTATGACTCAAAGTTTAGAGCAGATGAAGAAACACCCAAGGCAATGGCTTGGATTTCATTCCCAGGTCTATTGCCAACCTTTTTTGTGAAGGAATGTCTATTTTCTCTAGCTACAGCAGTAGGTAAACCTATGCATCTAGACATGGCAACAATTAATAAAACTAGACCTAGTTGTGCTAGGGTGAAAGTACTAGTTGATCTACTTGTAGATTTGCCTAAAAAGGCGAGGATGGACATATTCAATGAAGCTAAAGGAACAACAAGAACTGAATGGGTGAGAATTCAATATGACATGATGCCTAAATATTGCAGACATTGTAAACTTCAAGGGCATGATCAATTTTAATGCTGGAGGATACACCCTGAACTATATGTGGAGAAGGAGAATGCTAACCAAATACAACTAAGAAGCAGGACATAGGGAACTCACAGCCTATAATGATTTTATCTAGTGGAAATGTCGTGGGTAATGTGAATGTTACAGCAAAAGAGAAATGGAAGGAAGTGAAGGACAACAGACTTAGAAATGTAGTAAATCAAAATACTAGTCTCAATAATAATGGAATGGAGATGGCACCAGCTAAGCAGCTTGAAAACAATCAGAACAAGGAGGGTACAAGTACTGTATATAGACAAGCAGGAGCACAAAGCAACAGTGGTAAGGAATTGGTGGCAGTAGACAACGAAGATAATGATCATGTTCAAGTAGCTAACAAGTTTGCAATATTACAAGGGATGGATGAAGAGGAAGAACCTGTTAATCAATTGGCAATGATGGCAGCTAATGCAACAACAAACAGTCCAGCAGTTCATAACCAAGCATCTACAAAGCAAAAACCAAAACATATGGTCAATAATGAGGGAAAGCTAAATCCAGTAGCACAATCTTTTCATCTTAACTCATCAGGGATTGGTTCGACTAATGGTCTAGTCAATGGAAAGGAGGCATCAAAAGCAAAAAAAGATATTGCACAATGGGTAGAAAGAAGTTTCAAGGATAAAACAGGAGAAGGAATAGTGAAGATCAATAAATCATGCCAGGAAATCCCATCACAAGATACATTAGTGAACAAGGTACTTAATAAAACTCCAAATTCTCAAGCAGAAGGGTCAAAATCGTCTACATTTAAAGAAAGAGTGCAAGGCTGTGGAGGCAGGCTATGGGATGCACAAAGGGAATACGATTCAGAGGAGAACGAAGTACCACTAGGAGCACAAGCTGATGAGGAACCAAATGAGAAGGACAAAGAAGAAGATGAGAAAAGTGTAAATGGAGAGCCCCATGCCAATGACAACAATACAACTGGTAATTTTTTAATAAAGGGAGGATCAGAAAATGTTGAGCACAACAATAATTTTCAGATAGCAGAAGTCACAGAAATTAGAAACTATGAAGGAAGAGGCCCAGAGGTAAATGATCCTGGAGGAACAGAAGATGATCAACTTCAGAAATCACAAGAAGACCCACAAGGACACAACACAACAGAGAAGGAGAAACAACCAAAACAAAAAACAGAAATAGTAAATATTACTGTTACATTGGAGAAAAACCAGTTGCAGCTGTTAAAAAGAGGAGAAGAGAAGGCCTTGGTCCCTAAAAAGAATGCATTTGGAGCTACATCAGGAGGGAAGGAAGACAATGAAGAAGGAGAAGAACCTGGTAGATCAGGATACGACATGGATCAAGAATCAACTACCCAACACCTTATGAATGCTGCAAGGCAAGGTGACTTATCACCTACACAAGTGGAAAAGGCAAAATCAGCAGCAAAAGGTAAGAAGAAGCAACAAAAAGATACTTTTGTAGCCCCAAAAGCTGGGGTGCACACAAGGAGAATGCTAACTAAATCCAACAATCAGTGATGAATGCTCTCATTTGGAATATAAGGCCAGTCAACACACAACAGGCCTTTGAAATGTTGACAAAAATGCACAGGCAAAATCACTATGAATTTGTAGGATTAATGGAGCCAAAGAAACAAGCAAAAAAACTGGGAAGTTATAGAAACAAGATAGGACTTGCACAGGCATGTTCAAATGTTTCCAACAAGATCTGGGCTTTCATAGATGAGGTATTTGAGGTGACTGTTATGTACAATATGGTGGAACAATTAACACTACGATTGTTTCATACTGAATCGCATGTGGAGTTTGTCCTAACATTGATATACGCTAAATGTGATGCAATTGAGATGATAGAGCTATGGGATTCATTATATGCAATGGCAAGGGATATGGATGCACCATGGCTTGTAGGAGGTGATTTCAATGTAATATGGGACGAAGAAGAGAAGTTTGGTGGGTTACCTGTGTCATTGAATGAAATTGATGATTTTCGACACTGCGTCAACACTTGCAATAGCTTCGACCTTGGATTTAAAGGCAGCATATTTACATGGTGGAATGGGAGAGCAGAGGAAGACTGTATCTTCAAAAGGCTAGATAGATGCTTGGCCAATCTTCAGTTCCAACAAACATTTCTAGGAATAGAGTTGCAACATTTGTCAAAGACTGGTTCCGATCATAGTCCAATGTATCTGAAGTGTGATATTGAGACTCCACCAATAAAAAAGCCTTTTAAGTTCTTGAATTTTTGGGTGGAACATGCAACTTTTAAAGATGTGGTGAAAGAGAATTGGATAACTGATTTCAGTGCAAATCCTTATATTCTTTTTAATCACAAGTTAAAAAAAATTAAAGAAGGCCCTTTCATTGTGGAGTAAGGCTACATTTGGAGATATTTTCCAAAAGATAGCAAGCATGGAGGAGGTAGTGATGGTTCATGAAGCAGAATTTGAAGCAAATCCTACAGGGATGAACAGNTGGAAAGGCTACAAAAGGTTCAGGCATAATTGATCAAATGTCTTGCACTAGAGGAGAAATATTGGCAATAAAAGGCAGGCATGACTTGGTTCAAGGAAGGGGATAGGAACACTAAGTTCTTCCACGCACAAGTGAGAGGTAGGAGGAAGATACTTCAGCTTAACAGAATTCAAAATAGTGGAGGAACCTGGATTGAAGAAGAACAAGAAATTGCAGAAGAGGCTATCAAATTCTACGAGGAACAGCTCACAGAAGTAGCTACTCCTTCATCATTTGATATCGTAGAGCATGTTCCTAATCTGATTAACACTGAGTAGAATGCAGAATTGATTAAGCAGCCAACAAAAGAGGAGGTTAAAGTGGCAGTACTCGGACTTAATGGTGATAGTACTGGGGGGCCAGATGGTATGACAGGCAAATTCTATCATTCTTGTTGGGACATAATAGGGGATAACCTGTACGATATGGTGAGCACTTTTTTCAATGGTCATGAGCTACCCAAGTGTGTAACACACACCAACCTAGTTTTGCTACCAAAGAAAAAAGAAGTTACCACTTTTTCTGATTTAAGACCAATAAGCCTCAATAACTTTTCAAATAAGGTTATATCGAGGGTGGTACATGAAAGGCTAGTGAAATTTCTCCCAAGTTTGATATCAGAGGAACAGTCAGGTTTTGTTAAGGGCAGGAATATAGTAGAAAACATCCTTCTAACTCAGGAGATAGTGACTGACATTAGGCTTAGAACTAAGGCTGGACCTAATGTCATCCTGAAGCTAGATATGACCAAAGCTTATGATAGATTATCTTGGCTATTCCTAACCAAGGTACTGAGAAAGATGGGATTCACAGAAAGGTTGATATGGATTGTCTTTGGATTAGTTTCAAACAATTGGTATTCTATTCTAATCAATGGTCAAGCTCATGGGTTCTTTAATTCCTAAAGGGAGTAAAACAAGGTGATCTTGTATCTCTAACTTTGTTTATCTTGGCAGCATAAGCATTATCTAGGGGTCTCAATGCACTACATGCTAACCTGTATTTTTGTGGATTTGGGATGCCAAAGTGGAGTCCAAAGATCAATCAATTGGCGTATGCAGATGACATGATTATTTTCTCATCCTCAGATGAAACATCTCTGATGCTGATTATGCAAGTGCTGAATGCATATGAAGTTGCATCTGGGCAGCTTGTTAACAAGACCAAATCAGCTGTGTACCTGCATCATTTAACAGACATGGAAGTGGTCAACAAGGTGGAAAGGATCACAGGCATTCATAGGAATGATTTTCCTATCATATATCTAGGTTGTCCTATATTTTATGCAAAGAGAAAGCTGGAATACTATAAGCCCCTAATTACTAAGGTAATGGACAAACTGCAATCATGGCAGGGTAAGTTATTATCAGTAGGGCGCAGGGCAGTTCTCATATCCCATGTACTGCAAAGCATCCCTATGCATCTATTATCAGCTGTAAACCCTCCAAATTATGTGATAAATAGGTTGCACAAATTGTTTGCTCAGTTTTTCTGGAGCAGCTCTGTAGGAGGAAATAGTAGGCATTGGGCTTCATGGAATACCTTATGCATGCTAGTTGAGTAAGGTGGAATAGGTTTCAGGTCACTGCATGATGTAGCAAAGGCATTATTCAGCAAGTTGTGGTGGAATTTCAGAACAAAACCAAGCCTATGGAGCTCTTTCGTATGTCAGAAATACTATAAAAAATTGAATTCTGTAATTGTTCCATGGAAAAGGGGGTCTCACATTTGGAGAAAAATGTTGGAATGCAGAGATCTGATTGAACATCAAATCTTTTGGTAAACAAAAAGGGGATCCTCACTATTTTGGTTTGAAAACTGGACAGGTCTTGGGGCACTATATTTTTTTAGTTCCTCAGGACTTTGTCATTGATGAAACTGTACATAATGTACATGATGTTACCTTAGATGGTGAGTGACATGTGGACAGGCTCTTTGAAATGCTTCCTGAAGACTTAACAGTACACATTCTGGAGAAAATCAAACCACCTTCACCTCAGCAGGTTCTTGACATGCCTTGTTGGATGCTGGAAACAAGAGGATATTTCAGTGTTAAGTCAGCATTGAATTATACGAGAAGAAGAGACAAACCAAGAACAGCTTATAGGATGATTTGGGTGAAGGGACTGCCTTTTAAAATAGCATTTTTCATGTGGAAAGTGTGGAAAGCAAAGCTACCTTTAGATGATTTCTTGAAAAGGGTAGGCTACTGCATGCCATCAAAATGTTGGTGTTGTGTACAGCCTGACGAGGAATCTCTTCAGCACTTGTTTTTTAGATCAGAAACTGCAAGGACAACTTGGAAGTATTTTCTATCGAGGGCAGGAATAACTGTGGAGGGATTAACATTGCACCAAGCAATCACAAAATGTTAGACTGCAAATGTGTGCTTAAGGCTCAAACCAGTAATGCAAGCACTCCCCTCATGTGTAGTCTGGGAACTCTGGAAAAGAAGAAATAGTATGAAGTATGGTGATACTGTGTCAACTAGCAGGGTGATTTATTAAGTTTCATCAAATCTACAGGCATTGGTGAAAATGAGAAAGCCTGGGATGGACATGGTACCTCACAAATGGCAATATCTATTAGCTATGATGGAAAATTTCACTCCTAAACTTAAGGTTACCAAAGTCATGTGGGAATTTCCAAGTGCAGGATGGCTAAAAGATAATACGGATGGTGCATCGAGGGGAAATCCAGGCAGGAGCACAATAGGTTTTTGTATAAGAAATGAAAATGGTGACATAGTCAAGTCAGTAGGGAAGGAGATTG